AGGGAGGGAGGGAGGGAGAGAGAGAGATGGCTTTTATAACACTTCGTTATTTCAGAAGAGCAAAGATTTTCATCCGCTGTTTACCATAACCCCACAATCCCATTCCTGGCCAGCCACTGCCAGTTCGGACTCCATCACGTGTAGGTGGTCTCGGTCTTCTACAATATTTCCTGTCCAATTCCTTCCCTCTGAAATCTCCAGCCATGTACAAACAGGCCTTGTATCCGTCTGCCATCCTGAGGTTCTGTCTTCTTCTCACCCATGGCTTTCCTGCAGGTCAGCGATCGTGTGTTGTGCGTTTGCCTGTTCCAGGTAATGGGTTTGGAATACCTGGTGAGAAAACCGAAGGAGGCTACTTAAGGAACGATGGGCAATAAATCTGCTGGATTATGTAGGTCGGGATTCTGTCTTCCTCCTCCTGGGAAAATGCTTAGGCTTTGCTCAGTATCTCACATGGCCTTCCAGCAACTCTATAGCGGCATCAAAAATAAAAATTTCTCAATTGGAGTTAACATTTGGTGCAGAGACTGACATTTCAACAGTTCTGTTTCTTTAAACAAAATGCAGGGATATATGGCAAGGAGCATTCATAGAGTCGTCATACAGTGAGTGGTGTTCTCCTATTGTATTAGCTCCTAAACCTACTGGTGATATACGATTTTGTGCTGACGTGAGGCAGATCAATGAAATAGCCAAATCTGATAGCTACCCAGTGCCTCATACAGGTGATTTGGTTGATCATCTAGGTGGAGCTAAACACGTGTCAGTGTTAGTTCTCACAAAAGAGTCCTGGCAAATGCCTTTAGAGATAGAGTCAAGGGAGAAGACAGCTTTTGCAACATAAAGGGGTCATTTCAGATCACCCTAATGCCATTCGGTCTGCATGGAGCTTCTGCCACCTTCCAAACGTTAATGGACCAAATCTTACCTGGTTGAGGAAAGTGGTATGAGGCTTTCCTAGATGACATCATGGTCTATAGCCAAAGCTAGGAAGACCATTTAAAGCATTTGGGAAAAGTGGCAACCAGTCTTCAAAAGGCTGGTCTTACAGTCAGTCCAACAAAATGTCATATATAAAGGGCTATAAAGAACTTCAGGTATTCTGGCAGGGAATGGAGAGGTGAAATTAGATAGAAAGAAAATATTGGCTCTGAAGGAAGTCAAGTCTCCAGAAACAAGGAAGGAAGCTAAATCTTTCTTGGGACTGGTGGGATATACCCAACGACCAGCCTGGCTCATAGGCAGAGCTGAGAGACAGGGAGGAGGAGAGCCCGACCAGAGTCTGCCAACCCAACCAAGCCCGCTGCCTGCAGCCGCCCAGGGGCAGAGCTCTCCACACCAGCTCCAGAAAGATTGCTTTGGGAGTGGGAGAGAAAAGCCCATTTGCAAGTCTACAGAGGAGTGGAAAGGGTTTTTTTCACACACAAGTGGACTGAGGTTGGTTCAGGAGCTGAAGACCTGGGAGAAAGAGGAAGATTTAAAGAGCTAAGAAATAGTTAAGAGAGGAAGACATAGTACTACAAACACAGAAATAGGAACAATGACACAGAACATAGACATAGACATAGGAGGTCTATGGAATAAGATAGGTAGGAAAATAGAAAATAGAAACAAGCATAGAATTAGCATCAAGTTTAGAAATAAGGAATAGGTATTAAATTTTCTACAATTAAACCATGTGTTGTGGGAAAACCAAATGCAGTCTTTGTGTCTGTGATCTATACCAGAATAAGAAAAACCCTAACAATCACCACCTGTCAAGGGTGCTGCAGTGGGCAGGGGGCTGGCCTAAGTGATCTCCATGGTCCCTTCCAGCCATTATGTTTTGTGATGTTATGAGAATGACAATATTGATTTGAAGTGACAAAATTGGGTAATATTTAAGGTACTGGTAACATTGATAACTCTGATACTAATACTAATTTGATTCCAGATGCAGCTTTTGACCATTATTCATAGCCATATTGCAGGTACCTCTGGTGAGTTCTGATGGAAAAGTAGCCCTGGCCAGATCTTCAGGGTTGCAGCATGAGCTGAGGTCCTGGTGAGGGGCCTGGAGGAATCAACACATATCCAAGCAGAGGCAGGGTTGGGGGAATGTTTGGGGCAGGAGACAGGAGGAGAGATGTAGACTTGCAAGATTGATGTCAGCCTTACGAAGTAGACCAGACAGGAAACATGACCAGATGAGCTAATTCTACTTTATTGTAAAGCTACATTAACAGAAGCTTGCAAGTCTGAAAGTACAACCCTCCCCCGTCTCCTTTACAGCCCAAGAAGTTAGGGAGGGTCTCTTCTGAGCCTCTTGTCCCACCCACATTCCTGCTGTGGGCTCAGCTGCCTTTTACCTGACCATTTCCTTAGTTGTGTTTCTTTGCCCTGTCTGTCAGGATCTGCGCAAGCTAGAAATCAAAGCTTAATTGAATGTAAGCTTGTGATGCATAGTTGACAGGGTTAAATGTTATAATTGTTAATTGGAGGCCCACTTGCTTGTTCCTGCCATCAAAGTCAGGAGAGAAGGGGGGGAGAGCCAAGCCAGGTGCTACCGTTATCTCTGCAGAGGCGCCAACAAGGTCAAGCAACCGTGAGACCAGGAGAAAGGCGTGAGGAATTTCAAACAGGAAAAGAAAGTAGAAGGGGGAGGAAAGGGTTAAAAGGAAGGGTTTTGCTTAGCAATGCTTAGACTCAACAACCTATAGATGCTGTACATTTCTCGCAATAAAGAAATCTTTAATGGAACTAATTAGAGTCCATTAGAGTAAATTAGAATTTACTGAACTTTGGGAATGAGTGTGCAGACTCTGACATTGTCTGCCAAGGTCATTCCCACATAGGATTACCCCACATTACAAGGAGGATGTGTGGAAAAATAGAGTGGAGTTGTTCTTTGCAGCCATTCAGGAATAAAAGTGGGGGACCCAACTTTGGAATCACCAAGGTGGGGATGCGTGGGCATTGCTTTCCTGCCCACTCCTACTTTTTCACTTGGGGAAAGGGGTGTCAGGAGGAAAAGGGCTGCACCCAAAGGAAAACAGTTCTATGGCACCCAGACAGATCAAATCCAGAATTTTCTTGAGTTGATTATGATCTTGAATTCTGGAAGGTCCTTCTCAGGATAATTCTGTGGAATGACCGGATGACTCTGCATCGGATCTCCTTGGTCTTCACTCCATATACGAGGGGGTTCAACACTGGAGGCACCAGAAGGTGTAGGTTGGCCAGGACAGTATGGCTGTTGGAGCCATGGGTCTCCTGAAATCTGTGCACCATGGACAACCCAATGAAGGGAACATAGAAAAGAAAGACAGCAGAGAGGTGGGAGAAACAGGTTCCCAGGGCCTTCAGGCGTGCCTCTTGGGATAGGCTGAGGGCAGCCTTCAGGATAAAGATGTAAGAAAGGGAGATGAGGAGTGAATCCAGTCCAATGGCAAAAATGATGACCACCAGTCCATAGATAACGTTGAGTTTAATGCTGGCACAAGCCAGCTTCATGACATCCTGGTGCAGGCAGTAAGGATGAGAGAGAACATTTGACTGGCAAAAGGGCAGCCTCTTAATGAAAACTGGCAAGGATGCCATCACGGCTGCTCCACGGATTACTGCCACCAGGCCTATCTTAGCTATCCTGGGGCCAGTGAGGATAGAAGAATGACTCAGTGGATAGCAGATGGCAATGTAGCGGTCCAAAGACATAGCCAACAAGATGGTTGACTCCATTCCTGATAAGCTGTGGATGCAGAACATCTGGAGCAAGCAAGCATCAAAGGTGATGCTGGTAGAGTTGAATCCAGTTATGGCCATCATCTTGGGCATCGTAGATAGGGAGATCATGATGTCAGTAGCTGCCAGCATGCAGAGGAAGAGATACATTGGCTGGTGGAGACTTCGCTCAACACTGACGATATAAATAATAGTACTGTTCCCAAGGAGAGCCAGAGCAAACAGGAAACAGAGCAGAAAAGCCAGCCAGCAGTGAACCTCTCCTAAACCTGGGAAGCCAACCAAAATAAAGATCGAAGCAGAAAGGTTGCCTTGATGGAGAGATGGCATGCTTCTTGTGGCCTCTAGGCGCCTTTTCCAGGAAGAACTGGAACCAAAAGAATCACAGTCATTTTCATCTTCATGTAGCATTTCATATACTATCCAGGGGTTTTGAGCTGCCTATCTTGCCCAATCTGGGGTCCTCCAGATGTCACAGTGGCTGGGAATGTGTGGCCCCAACATGTTTTCCATGTGCTGCAATGAGCAACAGAAAAGCAAAGGGAAGGGAAGGCATGTTGGGATCCTGGCAAAGCCTCACTCCCTGGTGTAGGCAGACCTTTCTTGTGCCATGACTACTGCCATGGAAAGATTGGCAAGGAAGACAGGAGTGTTTGCTCCCTGTCCCCTAGAGCAAATCCCACACAGACACAGACACAGACACAGACACAGACACAGACACAGACACAGACACATTCTAAAGCAAAATGATGAGAGGTCTGCCCCTTACTGACAATGGACTTGCTGCAGACTTTAGTTTAATGTACATGCTATTATGTCTAGACCTGGAATGATTTTCATTAGAGATTCCCCTTAGTGAAAAAAGGAACAAGCAGGGAGGACAATTTTATTGAGACAATCTAAGAGCATGTGCAGCCTTTCAACATCCACAAAATTCCTGTGTGGTCTGACAGCCAGAAAGATTGTGTAAACCTAACATCCTCAAATGAACTTGATCCAATAAGAGGGGTGACCCCTTTGCCTACTCTGGTTCATGGAAAAATCCCCTGGACCTAGATGACAAGTGGGGGTGGTGTGATGAAACGCAGAACTAAACTCAACCCAATGCATCCTTCCCGCCCTCTCTGTGGAAAGATTCCCTCTTACATTGTCTGGGTCTTGCCCCCATCCAGATGACAAGGCAGTTCAGTGGCTTTTGAAAAGGTGCTGTGAAGATATCCCCCAGTTTGAGATGCAAGAGCCAACCAAAGCACTACGTGGTAACCGTCCAGCAGGCAGCTCTCCGCAAACTTGCCTCCTTCTACAGTGCCAGTTCTCTGCCCTTGGATACTCCTGCTCTTTGTGTCTGGTTATCCTTTCTTCAGAAATCCCTCTGGATGAAGCGTTAAGTGGGCGGCTCCCAGTGGGAGTGTCAAATCTGTGCAACCTGGGGTGCCTCACAATGGGTGGCCCTTAGGAGGCAAGGTCAATTCCAGGTGGATGCTGGCGGCTCCTTCCTGCCTCCACCACTGCCATGCCGCGTAAAGAACGGGGAAGGGCTCGCCTGTTTCAGGTTTGAAAGAGGCAGCTCTCCCGGGAGAGTGGAGGAGAGCACGGCTCTTTCCCAAATGATCAACTTAGAAAAGATTGGTTCTGATAATCAGTTATCCCCAGCCACCCCCTTATGCCATGCAGGGCTCACAGGCTGGGTTGAGTGGGGGCCACCCTGTTTTGCACCCTCCAGAATTGCACAGATCAGTAAGAGCATTGGGACTGTGCTTTCACCTTCTCATCTTCTGGCCCTGTTCTGGGTCCTCTGTTCCCTCGCGTGTAGAGTTTTCCCTTTAGACAACTAAGACCAGCAACTCTCCACGTCATCAGCTTAACTAAATGCTCTCATTCATTCCCAGAGCATCAGAGGTGGTTCTTGAACACCAAAGGAAAGAGTTCCTGGAATGAAGCCGTTTGTGAGCAGCATTATAAAGAAAGCAGAAGGTGATCAGCTGATATTGGGCGGGATGCCGGGGAGATGCTGAGGATGAGCACAGGAGTGCTTACTGCTGTGCACCGAGGAAAGAGTCCCGATAGTGTCAGGAGCTTTCTGCACTGACCAAAGCCATCTGTGAGGTGCTGGCACTCCTAAACAACCATTTGGGGGACACGCAGCATGCTCTATGACAAAACACCACAGAGATGGCCACCTTGCCTATCCACATCTCTTCCTCATGGAGGACTTCCATCTCCCTGAGACCATCTTTAATGGAACACTGCTGACCAGTCTTGAATGGTGTGTTTGGAGGGGTGAGGGCCATAATTCTTAGTGTGGCTGGGACACAATATGCAGCAGGCACTGACAAGTTATGCCCCAGCCAGACCTGGCGGTGTCTTCTGCAGCAGGCAAACTGCTCATAGCTTCAAGCTCCCCTTCCATGGCTCAGTGAGAGAACCAATTGTCACTACTGATGCCCAGGATAGCATATGTGGGTGAAAGGGGCAAGTGCAAAGCTGTGGGTCCTTAAACCATTAGATGCCAGTAAAAAAAAGTAGTATTCAAACTGTGGAAAGGAGTGGGCCTAGCCTTGCTTGATCTGCTGCCCTGAAGGTCCAAGGAAACATGCATGGTGTGGATACGAACATCTACTAAGTTTGCTCCTGTTCTGTGTCTCTCCAACCCAGCATGTCCCCAACACTGAAGTTCCATCACCTGGCCCATAGGAAGCAGAAGACATATCAGGCAATGATGGGGAATCTAGACACATACATATCAAAGCTACTCTGCCTGACCAAGGCTTACAGTCACCATAGTTGCATTACTGCTAACCACGATCCCTCACCTCCCAGTAATAGGACAGTGGGAACCGGGGTCTACTTAACACCTTTCTTGTGCTTCTTATCTTCCTTGGCAAACCCACAGAGTCTAGTAGCAGTAGTCACCACATCTACTCCCTTCCTGAAACTCTGGGATGAGTTTGAGCCTGTTGGTCCTAAGGAAGTGGATGGAGTTCTCTGTGACATCAGTTCTACCACCTGTGGTCTGGATTCCTGTCCTTTCTTCTTGGTCTGTGCAAACCTCCAGGGAGGTATCAGGGGGGTGGGTCAGGGGGCTGAAGAATCCTTGAGTGAGAGAGTGGTTCTGCTGCTCTTGAAGGAGGTGGTGATGCATTCCCTCCTTAAGAAACCATTGTGTGACCCAGCAATTCTAAGCAACCATTGACTGGTCTTCAGCATTCTGTTTCCAGGGAAGGCTGCTTAGAAAGTGGTGGTTCTGCATTGCAGATGTCTCTGGAACAAATGAATTATCTGGAGCCTTTCAGTCTGGGTCAGATCCATTTATGGAACCTAATTGATCACTCGTGACCTGTGATGGGATTGGGCTAGGGGAAATGTGACCGCCTATCCTGCTCTCAGCTGCCTTTGATACCATCTGGAAATTGGTTACCAGTTGGTTTCCAGGTGCAATTGAAATTTCTGGCTGTCACCTTTGAAGCCGTTCGTGGCTGTGGTCCTTTGGGACTGCTTTCTCCTAGTAGCCTGCCCCATAGGGTCTCTCTGAGTCCCATTTCCCCTGGGAAATGTCATCTTCAGGCCTGTTGGGGTCAGGCTTTCTCTGTTGCTGCCATTCTTCTCTCCAACAGCATCTCCTTGGAGATCAGTCTGTCCCCAGTTTTTTTGGATCTCCACAAAGCCATTAAAACCTGGCTGTTTCTGCAAGCCTTTGGGATCTGAAAGATGGAATGAATCTCTCCTGGAGGGGAATTTTTGCAGGTTATATTCTCAGGCATATAAGCTTGATAAATAAATAAAACAAGTAACCAAACAACTGAAGATGTTTGAGAGTACCAATTTCCATCATTGCGTTTTTGTGGCTTCCTCACTGGAACTGCTCCTTCTGAGCACATCTGAACAAGATGTTGCTGGACATATTGCCAGAAACCTAACCATTGTACCTCAGCCCATCTTGCATCCTTTGGAGCCAGTTTTTGGTGCTACCTCACAGATGTATCTATCTTATCCATGTGGATGAGATAATGTCAATCAAAAGGCCATCATTTTTTCCTAGTGCACCAGCTGCCCGTGCATCATGTTCTGCCTGTTAGCTCTGTGAGGTAGTCCGGACCAGAAGCGTGGCCAGGAGCACTAGCTCCATCTTTATTGTAAGGTGACGTTAACAGAATCTTGCAAGATGGAAAGTATTCCTCCCCTCCTCTCCTTTTACTCCCTGGGAAACTGGGGAGGGTCCCTTCTGAGATGCTTCCCACGCCCTCCCCCCTTCTGTGGGCCGCAATACCTTTTGCACGCCAGTTCTCCCATCTGCGGCACTCCCTCCTGTCTCCCAAGGCCATTCCCACAGACCATTACGACCCCCGATGCCATGGTGATGCCAACCACGCAGGAACTCAAGGTTCTTCTTAGGCTCTCCAAGGCAGAGAGATGGGGGTAGGGGTTGAGCGAGTGGTGGGGTCATTGGCCATCTTTGATTTCCCATGTACCAGTTTTGCACTCTCAGTTAACTGCTAATAAAAGAGGTCTCTATTTGGCAAAAGAAGGATCACAGCTCACCCGGCACTGGGTCCATCAGCCCTCATACTTTGGAGACAGCAGTGAAGTTCTCTTAGAGCGCCACCCTCTGGGGGAGATGGGCGGCATATCCATTTTAAAATAAATAAATAAGTAAATAAATAAATAAATAAAAATAAGAGGGAGGGCAAGATGAACAAAAGGGGACTCTGAGTGACACCAATGTCAGTAAGGAGTGAGTGAAGTCCCTGTCATGAGGAAAGCAGCGTTTTGAAGCCTGGGACATGCCTGTCAGAGGGCAATATGCATGCTGATTTATTTGTATGCTGCTCTGAGAGGCAGTTTGGTGTAGTGGTCAAGGCATCAGGCTGGAAGCCGGGAGACCGTGAATCCTAGTCCCGCCTGGGCACAAAGCCAGCTGGGTGACCTTGGGCCAGTCCTTTCTCTCAGCCCCAGGGAGGAGGCAAGGGCAAACCACTTCCAAAAAACCTTGTCAGGAAAACTGCAGAGACTTGTCCGGACAGTTTCCAAGAATCGGACACAACTGAACGGATTAAAAAAAAAAAGCCACTTTAATCAGTTTAGACTTATCCGTATTTTACTAGCTGGGAACTGTTACGGCAGACAGTGAGAGAAGAACCTGATTTGCTGGGGGATCTTTCCAGATTTTACGGGGGGGGGGGGGGGGGACTTTTTTTTTTTTTTTTT